GGCTACACAAACACCTGATCTCTCACCTGAACTCGAAGCATCCCACTCACGGCGAAGAGTATGCTGAGTTTCAGCGCCGAAACCTGACCTCCCTCGAGGTTTTCGGATTCGTGGACGAAACGACGACTCACATGTACGACTGGCTACGCTGGATTGTCGAGCGGAATCTCCCTCTGTGCGAAGTTGAGAACCCACTAACGAGACAGTTAGTTCGCATGAAGCCTACCTCAGCGGAGACGCTGAAGACCTACATGCAACGAGTCGCTGAACGTGTCGGCAACACCATCGCCGAGGAGATGGGCGAGTGTTTCGGTGTTATGTTTGATGGATGTAGCTCTTGCTCGCAAAAATACACTGAATATTGCGGCATTGCGGATTATTGTTTGTCTTGATACGCCACTATGTATTGCTGATGCCACAGCTGCCTGCGTATACTGCCTATTGTATTTTAGGAGGCCTGGTTTGGCCAATGTGGCTTTTTGGATGCGTTGGTGGACTTAGACTTAAGAAAAATGGAAATCCTGGCTCAAAGGGTTTTAGCTAAGGTTACTACGAGTACATGGAACTACCCGATGAGCCATACTGAAGTCTGCTAGCAAAAATATATATTTTTTGCTGTGACGGATGATGTTTCTGGTAGTACAGGAAAAGAAAGACGTCAAAGGTTTTTTTTTTGGACAAACTACGTCATTACTCGAAGCCAGCTACATTAACCCCTTGGTTACCAACGTCGTAACTTACGACGTAGTGAAAACCTTAAGTCGTAAGTTACGACTTAACTGTCAAGATAAACAGGAAATGGCTCAGATGCGACGATCACATACTTTAATCAAGTCTGTTTCTCTGCAAAAAAATATAAGCTTGGAAAGGTAGTGGGCGACAGGGGAGAAAAAGGCTGTAGGTGGATTCACTGTCCCACTATCTGGGGACCGTACGTTTGGTGGACGGTGGATGTTCTCCACCAGTACAGAATTTGCGGGCTCAAGCAAAGATGCCGGTCAGAACATGCAAGCGGTCAAAAGCTCAAGCAGAGGCGCTCTCAGCAATCGACGTGCGAGATGTGGATTTTGGTCATCTATGGCGTCAGCTCGTGCGTGTCGGATGGACGTCAAAGAGGCCAACGCGGCTGTCCAATTTGCACTCGTACTACCCACCGAACGCTGCAAAGGAGCTACACATCGAGGGCGTGAACATGTTTGTCGGTAAGTCTGATGTGGTTAGTCTATTGTGAGTGTGTCTAATACGTGCTCTGTGCTGTGTATGCGAAGGAGAACATGCGGTAGTAAAGTATGCGTTTGAACAGGGCATCATTGGCGCTGACGAGGGAGGTGCAGGCGACGACAGAGACGACGAGAGTGAAGAAGGTGAGCCAGAAGTTCCTGCAGAGTGTGAGAGGGTAACACCGTCTCAGATTGACACGAGTGTTGCTCTCTCAGCGAACACCGTTGAAGCATTGTTTGGATCCGATAGCGAGGACAGCGAGACACCTGCAGAACTTCCGCTATGCGCCACAAGTCCGCACATAGAGGATGAGAGCTCAAGGGCGTCACAGATAGACACAAGTATTGCGCTTGCAGCAAACACCATAGACGAGATATTTTGTGGAGCTATGAGCGGTGATGAACCTGATGTAGCGCTGTCACTATGCGCCGGTCAAAATGGTGCTGTTGTCGAGCCTGTGACGCCAACAAACTCGAGACGAAACGATGAGCGAACAAGCTCGAGAGAAGATCGTGGCTTGCTACAAGAGGACGTGAACATCATGAAGGACGAGGACAATGCAGACGAGTATGAGAGCATGGACTCGGAGTCGGATGGCTTTGGATCAGATGATGATAGTGATATTGTTCAAAGACAAATTGGTGACGACGTGTCATCTGACGAAGAAGAGGCGCCTCTTATGGATGCAGCATTTATTGATTGCTTGAGGGGTTCTCTATCTATCGAAGACATGAACCAGATTACACTTCGTTCGATGGCGTGGACTCCTGCATCCTCCGAGTATGAAACCGACAATAGCGCGTTCAAAGGTATGAAGGATCAAGCGGCTAGGCCTGTGGAAGCACTTCGTGCTAAAAAGGATTCTCCATTGGAATTGCTATTCTATTTTATGCCGGTGAACCTGTGGACATTCATCACGAGCGAGACAAACAGATACAAAAGGTCACACCTCGAGGAAAAGGCGCGCCAAGAGCGTGCACGTCTCGTTCGTGAAGGACGCAGCGTACCAGGTCAAACGCTACGGGATGTTCGCCGCCGCATACGAGTCGAACCTGATTACGTACCGCGCGGGATTCTTTGTGTCATGGGTCTACTTGTAGCTCATATGCTCAGCCCTACCCGTCCGTTTTCAGATCACTGGGCTATGACCGATGATGGCGCGCTTTCGGCGGGACCGTTTGGCAATTTCATTTCTCGAAATCGCTGTACTTCTATCCTACGAGATCTACATTTCTGCAACAATGACACAGCTGACAAGAGAGACAAGTTGTGGAAACTGCGAGCTGTTGTTGACGTACTTCAAATGACATTCCTAGCTGCGTGGATAGTGGCTGCAATCATCTCTTTCGACGAAGGTGTACTTCCTCAAACGTCCAAGCGTAACAGTACCCGTATGTTTTTGCCGGACAAGCCGCACCGTTATGGCACCAAGATGTTCATGACGTGCGACGCAGTGTCTGCTTACTGTCACAGGTGCGCATTTTGTTTTATAAGTGTTGCAAAGTCGTAAGTTATGACTTGATGGTCTGACATTTGCATTATGCTGTCACTTACGACTTTAGATTCGAGATATATGTAGGGAAGCGTCAAAACCATGAAAGTGCAAGTCAGGCGTTTGACCACAAGACAGGAGCAGCCGCTGTAATTCGAAATTTGAAGGCTGTGTTGGATGAGAACGACCCCGGATTTCGTGTCATTGTTGTCGACAGATTCTACACCTCCGTTGCTCTCGCCATTCAACTACTTTCGATGTCGGTCTACATGATTGGAACAATCATGACGTCAAGGCTGGGATTTGACAAGCACGTCGTTGAGCGAAGGAAAACACGACCAACCACAGTAAAGCGCGGGTCATTCACGTACTCAAGGTCGGTTGCGGTGCCCACCATGGTTGCATGCCACTGGTGGGACCGCAAGCCGGTGCACTACCTGGCCACTGGGGTGTCAATGGCCGAAGATACCATCAAGAGAAACCTGAAGACGGTGGGGCAGTCGACGTTCAGCTGTCCCAAACTGGTGACCGATTACCAGCGCTGGATGGGCGGAGTTGATGTGCATGATCAACTCCGCCTTCAAACGTTCTCCGTCCAGACTTCTTTCAGGTTCCGAAAGTACTATAAGGGTCTATTCCTAGGTCTGTTTGACTTAGCGCTTGTAAACGCGTACATCACACACAAGGAGGCCTGTCGCCTCGACGGCGTCGCCCCAATGAAGCGCGTGGACTGGTACAAGTTGCTGCACAAGCAGCTCACGCAGCTCACGGACGAAGACTTCAAAACAGCAGCGCCATCACCGTCTCCAAGCGCGCCAAAGCGCCGCCGCAACGCTTCCCACGTACACAAGCAGCTTGATGATTGGGTGATTGTATCGGGCGTTCAGAAGCGGCGCCAGCGCTCTTGCAAGGTGTGCTCCCTCTATCGAGGTGAGCAGAAGAAAAGCTACCAGACTACTTACTACTGTGAAGACTGCTCGCAGGGTGATGCAAAGTGCTTCCTCTGTCCCAAGGCGCGCAGAGGCACGGATACAACATGTTTTCAAGTGTGGCACGACGACTTCGAATGTGGCGCGTCAATTCCGAGTCACATAGATAAGCGTGTCGTTCTGCGCCGTGCCCCCAAGGCCGCCGGAGTGCGAAAGAAGACACGTCGAGAAATCTTGTCTGAGGAGAAAGAAGAGAGCTAGTGAGCCTCCCGTACGGTTTTTAGCAATGCTACTAATGCATTTTGTTGAGTTTCATATGATTGCTGTGCTGTGTAGTTCCGGTTATAACTGTGTTTGTGGATTGTGATCCCGATCACATGATCGGCTAAGTTGTATCTGTGTACTTGTTAGTCAGCGATGCTGAAGTACGTCGTCAGTGTTACGACGTAAAAATCGGAAACCTCTGTATAACTTATAGTCCCATCTTAATGATCAGACAAGTGGAAAAGACAGACTAATACAAACTCCTAGATAATTGTATGCTGTAAGTTACGACGTAAAATAAGGCGGTTCGTGGCCTGAATTCGCGGTAATAAAGGGGTTAAAGCGTCAGTGCCATCGTTAGCGCTTGCTTCAGTTCCTCTTGCGGCGGCCGTTGCACTTGGTTTTGGTCGAAGGGGTCGAAATTACCGTGGGGACCTGGTTAGCAAAGTTCGCGTCTACACCGGGTTCGTCGGTGGATGTCTCATTCCAAGCACCAGCTTCGTCAGAAACCTCCGACTGAGTTACACTCTCGTCTCCGGCGGGTTCCCCCTGTTGCGTCGAGTCGCCGTTCTCCGATGATTTCGTGTCGACGGACTTGTTGTCGTCGGACTTGCTCTCATCCGACTTGTCGTTACCCTTCGATGATTTCGTGTCGTCTTGCTTGTTGTTGTCGTCGGCCTTGCTCTCGTCCGACTTGCCATTGCTAGATTTTGACGAAGCCTCATTTTTGTCGTCACCGTCCCCGCTTGCTTTCGAAGGTTGAGTGTTCTGCGAGGTTTCGTCATTGTCATCGTTGGGTGAAGCAGGAGCCACAGTGCCTGGTGTTTGCTCAGCGTTGTCGTCATCTAAAGACGCTGGAGTCGAACCGCCAGCAGCTTGAGAGACGTCGCCGTTGATATGCACGTCACTCTCGGAGTACTGGCACAGTGGCGGAGACGGACCATCACCCAGCATGGATGGCTCGCCGTCTGCATTGCCCTGAGACCACTGACAGATCTTCACCTTCTTCTTTCCGCTGGACTTGACCCAAATGTTACTTAGTGTGGCCTCATCGCCCCAGTTCTTGCTCACCGTCACGACGGCGTTGCCCGGGCTCACGATGTACACATTGGACACTGACACCTTCTTCGGTCTGTCACCACAAGTGCCACACGAACGGTAGAGCTTGCTGATATCTTCACCATAGAAGCCGTCGATCTCGACGGTGCCGTATCCGTTGTGCTGGATCACCTTGTCATCGGCGGAGCGGGCGCCACCGCCAATGACCTTGGACACACTGGAGGCGGTACCGCCCTTGATACTGAGGGCGTCCTTGCACACATCATCCCACCAGACATTGTCAATGGTGCAGTCGTGCTTATCACAGTGGACACCTTCCATTTGGTTCTTGCCAATGATGGCGTTCTTGAGGGTGGCACCAGGTTCCATCATGAAGACAGCGGTGTCGGACCCACTCTCCGTTTGGCCCTCGCACGAGATGTCGGAGCGCTCGAACGTTTGCATCTTGCCGTCAAATATTTCACAAGCCTTGATTACGTGTGCCTCAGTAAATTGGACGCTTCCGGTACTGGTGGGCCAAGTGCCGTCGGGTACCTTCCCATCGCCCGAAGAAGGAATACTGCCGCCTCCTGCGGTGGTCTGGCTACCCGCTGAAGAAGTTGCACCACCCGATGTTTGGCCACCGCTTGGAGGTGTTTCGGGTGCATCGGGACGAGGTTTGGCTACCGTTTGGAGGTGTCTCCGAGTCACCAGATGAATCTTCGGTCTCGCTATCATCGTCGCTCTTGTCGCTCGAGTCCTTGGAGTCGACAGGAGTTTGAGTCTTTTGGGATTGCTGAGAAGTGTTGCTGCCGTCGGATGGTTTGTCCGGAGCAGAGGGTGCGCTGGGCGATGAAGCACCAGATTTAGAAATATCCTGGTTAATGTGCACGTCGCTCTCCGAGTACTGACACAGAGGTGGCGATGGACCGTCACCAAGGTTTAAGGGTTTGGCTCCTTCCTGGGACCTTGACTTCGTTGCTGCCGTCCGAAGTCTTGACCCAAATGTTGCTAAGTGTAGCCTTGTCACCGTAGTTCTTGTTCACCGTGATGACACTCACTTGAGGGTCTACCGCGTACCCATTCTTGATTGTCACGATGCGGGGAACGTCACCACAAGTACCACACGAACGGTAGAGTTTACCAAATTCCTCGGCATAGAAGCCGTCGATGTTGACTGTGCCCTAACCATTGTGTTGCACCACCTTGTCCGAGGCCGATCGGGCGCCGCAATTAGTGACTGTAGTCACACTGGAAGAGGTTCCGCCCTTGACACTTAGAGCTACCACACATTCTCAATGTACAGTCATGGTCATCACAATGCACCCCTTCCTTTTGGTTCTTACCAATAATGGCGTTCTTCAGAGTGCCCCCGGCCTCGACGAGGAACACGGCTGTGTCCTTCTGCCCCTCACCTTCCGAACAGGTAACATCCGAACGGTCGAACGTCTGCATCTTGCCGTCGACAATTTCTCCAGCCTTAATGATGCGTGGCTCGGTGAATTTGATGATTCCGGTGCTCGTAGGCCAGGTGCCGTCGGGTACCTTTCCACCGCCGGACGAGGGAGGGGTACTGCCACCGGTTTGGCTACCTTCCGACGAAGCTACAGGCTCTTGCTTCCTTGAATCTCCACCAAAATCAGTTGACTTTGATGATCCGTCCTTGTTTCCATTCGCGTTTTCATTTGAGCTTTGACCTTCCCTAGACAATGGTGAAGAGGAGGGTTTGTCACCGTTATCATCGGACTCCCCACTCGACTCCCGTGAGGCATCAGGTGTATCGTTATCGGAGTCTTCGTTAGACGAAGCTGGCGACCAGGAGTTTGAAGGTGCGTCCGTGGTGTCGTCGTCATTGTCAGCAGGCTTTTGGTCGTCTTCAGATTCCTTGCTACCGGTACCCTCCAATGTAACAGGTGCATCTGTCGGTTGCTGCTCATGAGAATTAGCTGCGTACTGTGCCATGTCATCCCACGAATCGTCTGCTCCAGTTATGCTAAGAGCAAAACCGAGCAGAGCCACCACAGAGACAACCGTGCCGGTTCAAATCTTAACCATGGTGATGAATTGATCAGCAGCAGGGCGTCGACGATGTTCTTGAGAGGTAGTGGGGGCAGTAGTGAGCTACTGGACAAATTGGTAAATGATGCTAAGGCTACTTGAGACGGTATTGTGTTTAATCGCGGCATTGCATGTTTTCTGCTTGCGTCGTTGCTTGCTTAATAACCCAGGTACTTCGAAAACAAATCTTGCGATCAACTATTTGTCTATCTGATTCGCATACAGGCACGATGAACCGATTTTCACGGTACTCGCTTTGTTGTTGACGCCGTTTGAGCCAACCAAGGACATCTCTTCCCGTGCAGAAAATAAACTCACAGAAACGTAGCATTGCAGTGCAAGAAAATCGGATCAATAATGGAGATAGTGCATCACTAGTATGTGTATCTGGTGGCCGAGGAAGCCGAAAGCGAAAATGTATGGATGAATTCAACATTGCAAATTCTTTTGGGCAATTCATCCTGTCAATATATATCTAAATTTATTTATCTTTACAAAATATTAGGCCGTGTTCGGTTTGCAGGGCTTGTTTGAAAATAAGCTAGAGCTGTAGAACAGTCGTTTTATTAAGTAAATTAAAAATAAAAATTGTGACGACTGGTGAGAGCACGGCGCAGAGGAATAGCGACGAGGAACGAGTCGCGTGGCGAGGAGCGAAGCGGAGGAGGGCGGCGAGAGTCCAACGATGGGGACTCGAAGGTAAGGCGTAGGAGGCAGTTGATGTGCCTCGAAGAAGGTAAATTGAAAAGTGAGATTGAACTGGTTAGTTGTTTGTCGGCTACGAGGAAGTGCTTGTTAGCATTCCCTTGGTATCCTATGTAAGTATATGCATTTCACTATACTAGATTCTAAGTAGTCCTTAAGTCGAATCTTGAAGTAGCGTAGCGTAGTAGTGAACCGCGGCTCATTTGAACCGGGTCAGAATCTCCATAGTGAATTCAAAATGAAAAAGAATGACTGTCATTGAAGTTCCATGTTTGGCAATACTCATCCAAACATGGTGATTGCCTTCCGGTCAGGCGTGTGTCTGTCTGGCCGCTCATTGGCGACTTAAGAAGACAGTTGGCAGTCAGCAAAGACAAGTAGGAAAGAAATAGAAGAAAGTAGGACGCATTGGTACCAACGTCATGGCCATCGCTGGCTGTGACGTTGGTGCGTCGTTACATCCTCCCGGACTTGACTTCTCGTTGACGCTTGTTGAAGTCGGTAACGAGAACCTTCCAATGCGACACATGGCGGATGTCTTTTTCGCGCTCCCCAGGTTGCTTCGTGATCTGACAATCCGTGCCATTTCACAAGCCATTCAGGTTTGCGCTTGAATTGACGCTTGCGAAGAAGCTTTTCGATGATGTGCATCGTTGCGCCAGTGTCGTCGTCAATAATAAGTCTTGAGGCCTTTGGGATAGGACGAGTCTTAAAACGCGACGGGTTTTCAACGTAATGACTCAACACGTCCACATTGAGCGTGGAGTTCAGACGACTCACGCTTCGCAGAAAATTCAGCTTGACCACATTCGGGTTGATCATTTTCACAATCTCGAATGGTCCAATCTTGCGAGCAGCGAGCTTAGCTCGTTTCCCATCAATGTCTTGAGTCACATGGGCGGAAGGAATGCGACGTGTATCCAGCATGACTAAGTCTCCTTCTTTGAACGTGATCGATGATCGCTTCTCGTCATAGTACTTCTTCTGACGTTCTTGGGCTTGAAGAAGATGCTTCTTTGCCAAATCAATGATCTTTTAGCGTTTGTCTTGGAGCTGTTTCGCATATAAAACAATTCCACGCTGAATTTGAGTCATGGTACTGGGATTGCTCAAAGGATTCAACGGATTCCGTTCCTTGCGTCCAGTATCAACTTCAAAGGGCGACATACCGGTAGATGCGCTGACGAGAGTAGCATGAGCGTACTCAATCGTTCCGAGATAATCCGACCAATCACGTCCGTGGTACGATATCATGCAGCGTAGAGCGTCTTCCAGAATCAGATTCTGGCGTTCGGTTTGTCCATCGGCTTGGGCACGATAGGAAGTTGTCATGTGCAGACGAATTCCCATTAGCTTAGCCAAGGATGACCAGAACTTGAAGACGAACTTGGAATCTCAATTGCTGATGATGATCGATGGTAAACCGTGATGGCGAACAATGCAATCAAAGAAGTGATACGCAGTCTTCTGTGCATCATCAGTCCGGTTGCACGCACGATACTTCGGGCGCTTGGACAACTTGCCGACAACAGTCAAGATTGCATCAAAACCATTGGAATCAGGTAATCCAGTGATAAAGTCCATAGAGACGACAGACCAGCATTCCTCAGGAATCGGAATGAAAATCATCTTGCCATTCTTGCGAGCATTGCTGTGTTTCCAGCGAGCGCAAGTTTCACAAATTTGCACATAATCGCGAACATCTTGGTCCAAGGTGGGCCAATGATACCATTGCGAAATGCGAAGGTACGTTCGATGAGCTCCAGGATGAGCTGCAATATTGGAGTCATGGAAGCAAGAGATGATGGAAGTTCGAAGATGATTGTCCCGAGTAAACGGAACACACAAGCGCATCATCGTCTGATACTTGCGGAAAAGTAAACCATTTTGTTTGACAAATGGTTGTTCCAGGTGCTTAAAACGATCTCCGTAGTCTGGGCAATTGCGATATCCAGCAGCGAATTCTCTGCTAACCGAATCAGACCAACCGAGCGAGCTCCAATTTTGAGCTTGTTGGGTCACATTGGTGGCCACAACAATATTCTCAGCCGTAGCGACGGTACGTGGAGTTTCCACTGGTACATGGCGGTAAGCTTGAGCTAAGGTCGGAACAGGGCGCGTGTAGTAACCAGCAGCAACATCCTCCCCACGAGATTGAGGGCGAGAGGGTGGTCGAACCAAATGTTGGTTAAGACTGCGGTAGTCGGTAATAACGCGTCGATTCGTCAGGTTTCGAGCTGCACGGGTGTGGCAGCGCGTGGTACACTGATGAAATGAAAGTGTACTGATCGCATGCTCTGAAGATTGACGCGACAACGCATCGGCAACCACATTGAGATGTCCCTTAACGTGGTGCAACTTGAACGTAAACTGTGCGAAAAACGTCAAATAGCGAGCTAATTTCGCTGAAACCTTCGGGTGGTGCAAAAACCATTTGCAAGCAGTGTCGTCCGTGTAGATATCAAATTCACGACCATATAGGTAGTGACGCCACTTGTCTAACGCTAATTTAATAGCGAAGAGTTCTTTATCGTGTGTTGGTCAAATAATCTCGTGAGGACCAAGTTTCTTCGAGAAGAAGGCTATCGGATGATCTTGACCGGAACGAACTTGATAGATAACGCCACCAACACAGTAGCCAGAGGCATCTGTTGTCACAATGAAACGTTTCTCGTAATCCGGTAACTGCAACACGGGTGCTT